AGACGCCCGCATACCACAGTGTATAACTGCGTACAAGATGCAGTTTCAGGCTGATCGCAGTAACACCTTTTAAGATCTCGCCTAAAGGTTTCGTGAGGCTTGACGTACCTGTTATTGAAGGTCTAACGTGGCAACTGAGTGACATTAGTTGGCCATTGAGGCTACTTTTGTTAGACGCGGTCAGATCTGATACATAGTGGCAAGAGAAGTGAATATGCGAGTTCCAGGAAATAGTTCAGAAGAAGAACATGCGACCATCGGAACAAGAGTTTTATTTTCCTGACGTTTTGGATTCCGTCGGGAATCCTTAATCATAGGTTATGAAAGGATAATAGGAGCCATGTGCAGATAAGGGTGAAGCAATAACCCGGACGACAGCGAGCATAACTGTGGCGTAATTACCAGGCCCGCATCCAACACGGACGAGGAAATCTCGGCAATAAATGAGTCGAAAGCGAAGTGTCAAGCCATCACCGCACCAATTAAGACCCCAAGCGGTGACTACGGGAGACTGACGGATAATTATAATACGCACGCGGATGACCGCTACAAACAAAAATAGCGTTCAATCTGTACATGTTTCACCCTTATTTACACATGGCTCCGATTATCCTACCAATACCTATGATTAAGGATTGCCGACGGAACCCGAAACGTCAGGAAAATAAAACTCATGATACATAGTTTCGTCGGTAAGGGCACTGCATCCTCTACTGCATTAATAGTTTTCTATAACCCCGGGATCCTAGCTTACAACTGAAGTGTACGCCCCGCGGTCCCGATCTGAGCTACCCGTCAAAACGAGGGGGAGGTACTGGATAAAGTGGCAACTGTGATGACCATAATGAGTGCAATTGGAAAAAGAGAGAAGATGACAGTGGCGAAAAAGATAAGTATTTGGAGGAGGAGGATGAAGAGATAACGGTAAAAGCAAAGGAGCTATAGGGTTTAGTGGTTCTGAATAAAAACCACTTACGAAGAACTGCACGTGGGATAAGATTCGGTAGAACTGGTAGAAGCGGGCTGAAAGAAGAACAACAAAAAATGAGACTTAGCTGACGAAAATCAGGGTAAGGCCGTGAGACGAAAACATTAACAAAGCCATAATAAAAAACCTACTTCACATACAAATGCTGTATGCCACGACTCTAGTACGTGCATAAACCGCGAGAAAGCGAGTGCACAATAAGCCACAGGCATCAGTTCCGGTGTAGGATTTCAAAAACAAGGCACAGTACAATGTGCCAAAGGTTACGCGAAACTACGACCTTTGAACACAAACGTCCATACTACAGACGGACGGATCATGCGAAGCATTAAAATTCTGCTATTCCCACATCGAGTAGTATCAACCATACATAAAAACACAAAGATTAATTTCTATGCCATTAGAATTCATTCCCAGAACGTCAGAAACGATGTAAGATAATGCGCGACAACCCTTTCGACGTCGACGAAAGCATGGACCGTGACGGTAGAGTTCGATTTTTCCTCGATAGCAGAGTTCAGAGGAAAATTAACCTTGACAAGAAACCAGAACGAGCGTCTTTAAAGTTCCTGCTGGTCTGCCACAGAAACAAGAGTTACTCTAGAATAAAAGATGGAGTCTAGAGGCTAAGAGACTGCCACAGAGTCAGGTGTGAAGCCCTGTTTGTGAGTTGGTGATAAATGCCCAAACCCTAACTCCAACCCCAGTTTAGTAGTCAATGCCTACAAGCCCTGCTTAATGGCAGCGTAATGCACTGCAGTTTTATCGAGCTCATCGTCTGGTTATTGCGCCCAGCGTCAGACCAAAAGAGAATGTCCCGACCAAAGCAGTGCAGTCAAAGTCTTCAAGAGATCTTTTTTATGCCATAGGGAACTGTAAGCGTCTCAATGTTTCACGTGTATCGAGCTCAATGAGCGCTTAGCCGAGTGTGTTAGTCTGACAGGAAAATCATTAAGGTGGAGAAGAGGTATGCCAGCGCCAAGCCTGTTGGTGCAACGGAAGCACACTAAAAATACTCCGTAACAGCAAACACGTCTGTAGGCTTTTCTTTCAAAATTGTTCGCGGCCACCCTAACAGGTGGCAGACAAGGATGTAGCCCGGCTACCATCGTTGCGCTCTTTGTGGGGTTTGTTGGGGCCCAACT